TTTGCAGTCTTTCTGTCAAGCTTTGATATATATCCTGACAATGACTTCAATGTCCATATTTGGAATAAAGTTTTGTTAGGAAGAGAAGATTGCTGGAATCACTTAAACAATCAAATGTCAAAGTTCAAAGGTTTTTGAAAAAAGCATATAAAAATAGAATTTTATAGAATAGATTTCATTGAAGGTTGCATGGGGGGGGATCAATGCCTGTACTTGGTACACCCAAGTTGCTGCTTGGAATGACCCTAAGGTGAATAGATCAAAGGCCATGTGTTCTGTCACTAAAATTGGAGTTTCGGTTTAGTGTGCAATTTCCAGACCATGGTGAGCATGCCCATATTTAGTGTACTGTTTGTTTAGGAGGGCCCATATGATATTTAGTGTACTGTTTGTTTAGGAGGGCCCAGATGCTTGGAAATACAACAAGAACATTTGGTTTCTTGACAATAACTGTCTTCCTCTTGGGGTGAACATGCACATACATTTTAACATATTGGTTGCTTTTGAGAAGGAAATACCTGGGATCACATTTCAGGTCAGCAGGTGAAATATCTATTGACTGGTTGCTGAAACTGAAATTGTTGTATCTATGCAACACGCCACCACTGCAGGTTGATCATGATTATATTTGTTGAACACACTGGTTGATCATGATTATATTTGTTGAACACACTGGTTGATCATGATTATATTTGTTGAACACACTGGTTGATCATGATTATATTTGTTGAACACACTGGTTGATCATGATTATATTTGTTGAACACACTGGTTGATCATGATTATATTTGTTGAACACACTGGTTGATCATGATTATATTTGTTGAACACACTGGTTGATCATGATTATATTTGTTGAACACACTGGTTGATCATGATTATATTTGTTGAACACACTGGTTGATCATGATTATATTTGTTGAACACACTGGTTGATCATGATTATATTTGTTGAACACACTGGTTGATCATGATTATATTTGTTGAACACACTGGTTGATCATGATTATATTTGTTGAACACACTGGTTGCTTTAGTTTATGCTTTTGAGGTCAACAGGTCAAAGGTGGTGCATAATTTTAACATTCAAACAAATAATTCATCAAAAACACTACCAGAAAACATTCTTTATTGGACCACATATATATTGACATAAAGTTAGAAGTTCTTTTCCTGTAAAACAAAGTCATAGGAACTTCTTATTTTGACCATTCAATTTGTTGCCAAAAGAGAAATATTAAGTAGAAATTCCCAGCATATCCTATTCTATCCAATGATTACAGCACATTTCAATTAATGTCACATCACATAATGGCACACTACTTAAAGTCACCTCACTTAATGTCACCCCACTTATTATCACAACACTTAATGTCATGTCATTAAGTGTCATATCCCTAAATGTTACACCACTTAATGTCACACCACTAAAAGTTACACCACCTAATGTCATTTCATTTAATGTCCCACCACTTAATGCCACATCACTTAAAGTTACACCACTTAATGTCATCTCACTTAATGTCACACCACTTAATGTCACATAACTTAAAGTTACACCACTTAATGTCATCTCACTTAATGTCACACCACTTAATTTCACACCCACTTAATGTCACACCACTTAATGTCATATCACTTTATGTCATACCACTAAATAAAATCCCACTTAATGTCACATCACTTAATGTCATATCACATACCACTTAATAGCACATCACTTAATGTCATATCACTTAATATCACATCACTTTGTGTTACACCACCTAATGTCATCTCACTTAATGTCACACCACTTAATGTCACACCACTTAATGCCACACCACTTAATGTCATATCACTAAATAATATTCCACTTAATGTCACACCACTTAATGTCATACCACTAAATAATATTCCACTTAATATCACATCATTTAATATCATACCACTTAATAATATACCACTTAGTGTCACATCACTTAATGTCATGTTTCAGTTTTGATGGCAATGCTGTTTAATATCACTTAATTGTGACAGTCACCATAGCCAGGGCTTATCCTCACTCTATATACAAAGTGGGTCCTTATACTACCTTATTATTTATTCTGTCTACCTTATGTTACCTAAATATTTATCTGTCTTTTATCTTATATATGTGACAGAGTATGTGGCAAATTAAAAGCTGTCTACTTCCATTTTCCCTCTTGTCAAACCAACAATTTTGAGAAAAAAATTGTGCTTTGAAAATTTGCCTAATTACAGTATTCTATAAACAATATGAAATGATAGCTAATAGACGTGAAAAATAATTAAAAATATTGAACTAATTGTTAAAAATCATAGACAATAATGACCTTAAAAGAACTTTTGTATTTTTAATTTTCTATTCTTCAATTTCACACATTAACATTCATTAACACATTATCATAATTTGTGATACGTTTTTGTTATTAAATGTTGTGAAATTAAAGTCATCTTTAAATCTATTGCAGTTTTAATTACTGAGAGAATTATCCTGTTATTTTCTGGAGTTTGGACATTAATGTATGGTTATGAATTATAAATCAAATTATCATATATGGTAGTCATTCTGGAGGCTGTTGGATTTAATATTTTGTCAAAAAAGAACATTAATCATAATATTAATGGGTAAAACCTTTTTATCCTGTTTGAAATTTTCAAGTTGAGAGAAGTCATAATGTCCGCCATGCCGAATATTTAATGGACTAGGCTGTTGAGCATTGGTCATTATACGTGACTGCCAGCCGCCTTTATAATAAAAACCCATTAAGATCCCTAGTGTACATTTATCATATTTCTCACATAGGTGCCATTCTGTGAAAATAACCTGATATAGAACATAGCGGCTTGATATGGTCCCATTTGAAAACTTTGATTTATTGTTTGTTTATTTGTTTAGAGATTGTAGGGTATGGAGTCAGTATATTATATTTTCTTTGTGAAAAATCACGAAGCACAGCAAATATTTCTGTATAACCCTTCCGTCTCTTACATGTACCTTTGCTACCAGCCGTAACTACAACAGTGCCCTTCCCTCCTTTATCTTGGCCAACAGCACCCTTTATTATAGTAGTGAAATTTCTGCCATGATGGCCATAAACCCCTTTTACATCATTGACTTTTTCCCTTTCCATGGTCAAACCACTTTTATAGCAGTGCCCTTTCAGTCCCTTACCTGGGCCTACACCATCGTACCTTCGCCTAGGAAACCTGTCCCTTTCTGTCCGTCACCTTACACTACACCATCGTCATCTATAACATTGCACTTCCCTCCCAGTTACCTTGGCCACCAGTCCTCAAACCTTAGCAGTGAAACCCTTTAGATTATTCTCCATTTACACTGGTCATTCAGTGTTGGATTATTTGTTTGCTTTTATAGTATAGAAAGTGCGATGTCCTCACCTCAGGGTTTTTTCCCATCAGACTTATGAGTTTTTATTCACGTAAACTTAATCATTGGCTTATGTGTCTATGTGTAGAAGAAATTTGTCATAAAGCCACCTCATGTCCCTTCTCCCTCTGTTATAGATATCTATTGCGGCTCACAGCCTTTGTCGTATGAAAAGAGAAATTCACCCATATAATGTATGGACTCCTCCTCCTCCCCAATCATATTCCATGTGGTACCAAGTCCCTATCGAGCCAATTATTCATAATATTCATTAATTTATTCATCCAATCTTTCCATCCCCAATTCATTGGTGAATACTTAATTGTTGAAGATCCTAATAATTTATCTCTAGTTGAATTTACTTTTAAGGACATTTTTTCTTTTTATACCACTATTTACCAATAGTGTGTTAGTCCATCAGTCAGTCAGTGTGTCACTTTAAGCAAAGTATACCTCAAAGAGTATCTGTTTGGATGGCGGACTGTCCCACAGTGAGGACAGATTGTCTTGTCCGGTGTTTAGAAACTTAGGATCCTTTCTTCCTGTATGATTTAAAACTTTGTGTAGAGGTTAAGAACTATGAATTACTTGTAATACTTTGCCTTGTTACATACAATGTAAAGAAAAAAGTAAAACTTAAACATATGACCTGAAAAACTTAATAATCAAAGGCCAAAGAAATTCAAATCATTTGGTGATTTTTTTAAGGTATCTTGATGAAAATTTAAGTATAACTACATCAGTCACAGAAAGTATTTCTTGGGCTATATTTAGATTATCATGACCTTCACCTCTAGATCTCCATAACCTTCAACTCTTAGTCTTAGAAGACCAAAGGTAATATATATTCTGATGAATAAGGGGGTACGTATGTTCTTATTGCAAAAACCTAATCATTTTGCTGTATTTTAATGTTATAGGAGAAACAAAATAGTCAACACATGTTGATTTTTTTCATTTATATCCATTTTCAGGAACAAATTCTCAAAGCATAACCTACATGTTGAAGTTTGTAGATTGTACTCGAGAATTTATACTCATTCACGTGTATATGTTAAAAAAAATTTTTTATGAAGGGAATAAAGCAATATTTTTTTCACACAGAAAACCAGAAACATTTTTTAAAAAAACGGTCAGTAAAAAACAGACAGTACTTGATTATTATGAATGATAATTATTCTTTTAGTGTTACTTTTCACTTTACACCATGAACATAGAACAATATTTCATACATCATTTATTCAATAGATTTAGAGGAGAAAAATCTTATAAAAGAACAGAGAAATCACCCTCTCCTTTTCAACAGGAGCACTTTAAAGACTTGTATTTGTATGCGGTAAGACGACCAATCTTGTCTCCTGTGCTAACAGGCCGAGTACACTACAATCCTCAGTAATTGTTACCATTGATACAGCCTGGCTTTAAACATCCACTCAAGCAGAAACCTCGGACCAGCTTTCCATTCACCTATTGAAAAAGTCTTGTGTGTCTGGACTATCCCCAGAATTTTTTTCTGTTGAATGGTTTTAAAGATTTTCAAAGGGTTGATGTCTAGAATTTGTGTGTGTGTGTTTGTGTGTACATTTTAGTGGCTGCTACAACAGGTGAACATGCCACTGTCACGGCAATTTTTAAAAGTTAAAAAAAAGTTTATTTAAAAAGGATGATTTCCCAATGACATGCTATTAAGTGTACCTTGGTATAAAACCAGAACAGGCTTTATTCAGAAAACAGAAAAATATTGCAAGCTGACCAATCACTGTTGTGAACTGGTATGCTAGCAAATTGGCACAAGGAATTTAAAATTTTTAAAACTTCCTTTTTTAATGTGGCTGCTGATGGTATTAAGGCTGTCTTGTTCTAGTTCCGAAGAATCCAGTCCGAAGGTTATCAGGATGGACCGAGTGTATTGAATTCCGCAAACAAAAGGAAGGAACAAAAGAGGTGATACAGTCATGCTCTGGTGAACACACTAAGTGAAAGCTAGGTGTATGTATATTTTTACCTCGGGGCATCATGGCAGATAGCTAGCACAGTGCTAGGGCTATGGTGAGTGTGCTGTGTTGTGTGAACGCTATACCGACTATGTAATGTATATGGGATAGACTGAGTTCAACGATTAGGTATGTATTGCTTCCCCTTGAGTGGGAATTTCTGGCGGTTTTCTTCAGTGTTGTAAGTGAGCCACTGCCATGTGTTAATGTTGAGGCCTACATCGCTACTATAAGACCACTACAGGACTTTACTACGCCAGCCCTTCGAAAGTTTATAAAATTACTCTTTGTGTGTTGTGTGTAGTCGGCTTCCATGTACAGGTTACTGAAGACAGAACAGGACAGTTTGTCCGAGGGATAAATATAGTGCCATGGTGTACCTGTAGCCTCCTCGTGTGTGTACAGTCATTATCGGTGGTGATTTCATTCGGTTGTCTGATGGAATTTTATTCATGCCAGTTCTGGAATGTGTTAGCCCCTTCTTCTTATTGCACCTGAAAACGAAGAAAAAGTTGTCAGCGTTTGACGAGCAACGACAATCCTACAGCAGGTGAGAAGTGCTTAAATTTATGGAGTTACGCCCGACGATTTTATTGTACACCTATATTTAGCAAACTGGTAAAATTATGCCATGCTCATCCAGGGAAAAATATGTGTGTGAAAGTTTTGTCTTACAGATCGACACCGTGCAAACTGGATTATATGTGCTGTTTTTCCTGAAATTATGATAATTTTTGATGATATATCAGTTATACTCTCAGTGATCTGTAGTATAATTTCCTTAAGATTTTAATTATTGCTTTAAGTTTTAATCAGATTGATATAATCAACGACCTTTAATTTGATATTCCTTATTAAATTTTAAAGAAATCAGTAATTCACTTTTAAATTAATACTTTGCATGATGTTTATCTTATTCAATATTTGAGGAATGCTCAGAAATGGTATGTTGCAATATTATTCTGCTTCAAAATTTAAAGTAAATTATATTTTCATTGATAATGCATATTTCAAAATATGGTAAGAAATTACTGCAGAATAAATACAGCAGTGTTTAATGTTTACAACATTGTGAAAGGAGACCCTTCATGTCTACTTTATATAATGTTATTTAAATAGATTGTTTTTGACAAATGTATCCCTTTGTCATCATTACAGTGTTTTCTCCTTCTGTTTCCTCACAATATTCCAAAAAAGGAGTTTAACACAAGAATGAAGATTTAGCAGTAAACTTAGATACATAAACCCCTGTTCTTAATCGCATTAAATGTTTAGAAGACATTGCTGGTTTTGAGTGATTTAATTGCCATCTTGAGCCATTAAATTCAGCCAAAGGTATTCCAGCAACTGTAAAATGGCATATCAAGTTATATACACAGGTAAATCGAAAGTTTAAAGATTGTAATCTGTTTTATGAGACTAAGTAATGTCGTTGGGACAGGTGTTCACTTCATGTTGTTAAAGTTTAAGCTAAGTTTCACACACGTTTGATTTCTAACATGTTATTCCTAAACACCCTAACTTTTAAAAGAATGAGTTTGCATATGTGAGACAATCATTTTTATTCGAACACTTAAAATATACACCCTCTGTTCAATGTTCTCATCCAACTTTTATCAGATTATGTAGATAAGGCGTTGAAAGGTGTTAAATGAGATTTCTGTATTAGAGTTTCACACATTAATTCTTTGTCAAATTCTTAACAATGTGCAACTATAAAGATGTGCGGTAATAAAACACTCCTGAAAAATTCACCACAAATATTCAGTAGACATTAATTAAAATAAGTCATATATTTTGAATATCTTTGACTGTTGTGGTTTAGAAGAACAAACGTTTGTTTCGTTTCATGCAATGCAATTCTTTGAAAGTGTTGATATCAATTGTCAAATTGTAGCAAGGTTTTACTTCTACTCTTTGTTTTCTTCGATCCCAAAATCTGAAAGAAAGATAAGAAAAGCAAACAAAAACATTATTCATAGACCAGGAAAGTTTTCCAATCTCAGCAAAATATTATGATTAGAAGAACTGTTTCAATCAGAAACATAGCTTTGATCAGTGTTACGTTTTATTTCTCAGCATAAAAAATATCAGCCTGAGCTCTGTTTAGGTACAGAAAGAATAATTTGTAACAGGGATGGGGAGGGGGAGCCAGAAGGGAACTGGGGTCCCCTTACGTTAGGAGGACAGGGAATCTTACTGTGTCTAAAAATAGGAACATGAGGGGAACAGTTTTACTTTAAGAGGAAAGACAAGAGAATTTGACCCATATACATGAGTATAAGATTCAGTTCTGGTTGCAAAATCTTAACCCTTCTTCCCTGTGATCTAGTGGTGAACCTTCTAAATAACTGGAAACATTTATTTAATGATAGTTAGAATTTAAAAGTTCCAATTATTTGTCATCCTTTGATGCAAATCAGGCAATTCTGCTTCCTGATCAATTTGTCTGAAGTTGTCCTAGCTTAAAGGTTTTATGTTACTTTTGACTTTAAATATCTGTCAGAAATTGTTCCATTAATTTAAGATTTTGAAATGTATGTATTTAGACTCAAAGAACTTGGTAATTACCACAATATTAGAAAAACAATCATTTTTTGGAAAAAATCTGGGAAGGAAGTGAACTAAGAATATTAGGTTTTATTTGATGTAAAGCTAAGAAACATTTGAGAAAAGGCCTTGACCTGTTTAATGTTATATTGCTGGTTCCACTTGAGTGTACAAAATATGTTTCAATATACACATAATTAGATGGAGCAATTGATCGCCCTTGTCACCTCCAGTAAAATATCTTATCTAGTATATATCAGTAAGTGACAAATATTCCACAACGATATAGTCACACTTTTTAAACAAAATTTAAAAAAACAAGAAAATTAATTTCAGAATTTGAAATTAGTAAAGTTCGGTTTTTAGAAATTAATGTAAATTAGTTCATGCTGAACAGTGATAAAAATAGTTTCCGTTTCTTTTGTCATCATTGTTGATTGAAATCAAAATTGTAAGATGAACGTGAAATCTCCAAATAGATTTATCAGATATAGGTACAGTAGATTTATTAGATTTAGTAGCTTTATCTGAAAGCTATAGTAGATTTATTAGATAGATATAACAGATCTATGTGATATTGTAGATTGATCGGCAATAAGATTTTCATACCTAAAAATTTTAACTCTGATAAAATTTTCTTAATCATATAATATTGAGCTTGCAGTTGACACATTAAATGTCTTTTATGGAAATAAATATTACTAAATCTCCTATTTGGTTTAAATTTATTTCAAATTAAAAGTAAGAATGACAAAATAGGATAACTGTATATAAAAGCAATCTCATATGGTTGTTATAAAATAGAAATGAAATGTTTTGTTGAATTTGTATATCTTCTTGATTATAAAATAAAAATGATTTTTGTTTCAAGCTAAAATATCTGCTAGCTTATAGGTTGAACAATAAAAATAAAACAATTTTCTTATAAGTTAAATAATCAATTTTTAATAAATAAAAAAATGAAGGAAATAGCATATCTTCTACATTATAAGATAAAAATCAAATAGTTTTGTAATTAAGATAGGAAAAAAACAATCCAAGAAAAAGTGCTAAGTGACATTTAATTGTGGGAGAGTGATAAGTGACATTTTATCTTGTGGAAGTGCTATGTGATATTTTAGTCGTGTTAAGTGCTATGTGATATTTTAGTCGTGTTAAGTGCTATGTGATATTTTAGTCGTGTTAAGTGCTATGTGATATTTTAGTCGTGTTAAGTGCTAATAGACATGTTAATTTGAAAAAGTGTTATGTGACATTTTACTCTGGGATTATGTTAAACATCATATTACTTTCAGAATGTGATATGTGACATTTTATTTTGGGAAAGTTATAAGCAACAAGTTACTTTTGGAAAGTGATAAGTGACATTTTCTTTCAGGAAAATGATAAGTGACATTTTACTTCCGGAAAATGATAAATGACATTTTCTTCAGGAAAATGATAACTGAAATTTTACTTCTGGAAAATGATAAATGAAATTTTACTTCAGGAAAATGATAAGTGAAATTTTACTTCAGGCAAGTGATGAGCAACATTTTACTTCAGGAAAGTAATAAGCAACAATTTACTTAAGGAAAGGGATAAGTGACATGAGAAAGCATGCCATTTTATTCTTGGACATTATTTTGAGACATTTTACTAACAAAAAGAAATAAGTTTGGAAAAGCAATGAATGACATTTTACTTTTGAGTAACGCTCAGCAACATTTTACTAATGGATAGCGCTAAGTGACATTTAATTCTTGAAGGTGATAAATAGTGTTTTATTTTGCTTAACTACTAAGTGGATTGCTTTAAGTGAGATTTTTGGGAATGTTATGTAACTTTTTAGTTTTGGAAAGTAATGGATTAGTTTGTTTTGGGAAAGTGATGGGTGACATTTACTATGGAATACTGACAAGTATGAAAAAGCAGGTTATATGTAGAATTAAGGGTTTAAGTCTTAAGGTTTAAGGAAAATCTTTTACTGCATTCTTGGTTAAGGCATGGATCAGGATCTTGTTTGAAAATATATCAAATTCAAGGGAGACAATCAAAGGGAGATAATTAAAATGATAGCAAGTTTCTGTGTGTATAGTATTAATTATTGAAATAAAGTTCTTTGAGAAAAGATAGTTTGAGAATTGTAGCCAGAGGATATGGTGCCTGACTCAGTTCTGTGGAAATCTAGCCATCTGACTGGCCTAGTGATAGGATCACTGTTGAAAGACATAAAAAGTCAAAAACGTTTCCAGAATTTTATAATGGCTGTGGAGTGTATACCAATAAATTTTGGAAAAAATTTGAGATAACCATGGATACATTTCTTGTAAGGTGTTTGGAGATCTGAAGTTCTCAGTTGTTGCTGGATCTGCCGTATGTCGTAAACTGACATAAAGTCTGCACCAAAACCATACAACCCAGAAACACAAGCTACAAGAACCATTAAAATGTTGTGGTGGTTTTTGTGAGAGTTGATTACTGAGCCGTGAGTTTAAAGCTTCACTGTGTGTGAGTTGTGTGATGGATAAGGTGTTCTAATTAAGATTTACGTGTTTTTGTGTCCTCTAATTTGTATTTTGAAGGTCACTTATAGAAGTTAATGGTTCATTAATGTAAATGATGACGGATCAACATCTGGATTCATTACGGTACTTTTCTTTGAAAGATATTTTTTCAAATGTTATGACAGTCTCTGATTTCCAAAAGGTTTCGTTGTAATCTTAAATTACTACTGCCATATGGTACTGATTATTTATATAAAAAAAATTAAGATTTTGTCTACCAAGGGGATGTTATCTATCTGGTGAACCAGGAGATGGTATAATCTATATCACAGGTCATGATTACAAAATCAAATGGTATAATCTATATCACAGGTCATGATTACAAAATCAAATGTATATTATTTAGTTTTTTTGCTTAGTTTTTTTATGTTGTGTTCCGAATTTGAGGAATGGACAGGGGTCATCTTGCATGGGTTAGGGTCAAAGATAGGAAGGCCAGGGTCAGACTAAAAGA